AAAAAAAAACTGTCTTTGCACTCCCAAGGACAAACGAGCATGTGAACTCCCCCTGAATTTTCTGGGTTGAACATGTGAACTATGCCTGAATCTTTGATCGCATGAAATAACTCCCCCTACTTGGAAGCATAATTGATTAAAGACTTAATGCGCATGAGCAGAATCAAAAGGTCACTAAGGAAAACAATTGCAAAGCGATAAAAAGTGTGAAAAGTTACATATGCGAATGTGGAGGCGAGACAAATGTATATAGGAAAAGTTGTTGTAGAAAATCAGAAGAACCCAAGTTAGAATTTCATGGAGTTTCTGAAATTTTAAAGTGACAAGGATATAAAAGTATGGTTCAGGATCAAGAGGGTTACTTGGAATTATCGTCATAGCGGAGAAGATGAAGCAGCTTGTTGGAGAAGCTGTAAAGGAGCAAAAAAACTCGGGTTGTTCATCATTGAATCTGTAAAATTGACGAAGTCGAAATTATAAGATTTCACAATATCTAAAGAAACCAGGAGCTACAAGGACTGAGAAGGTGCTTCGGGTTATTATGGGGTTTACCTAAAGACATCATCGGAGAAGGTAAAGTGGAGACTTCATGGTTTCAAAGTTGAAATTTCAGAGGAAAAATTGACCTTCAGCCGGAACAACGAAGAGATTGGAGGAATCGCCGTTTGCTCCAGAGATTAAGTTGTGAGGATAAGAATCATGAGTTGTTGATTTACAGCTACCAGAGAAGGAGCAAAAGCAACAATGTCGCCGGAAATACAAAAGCAACAACATCTCTGCAACTCCACCCACAGTCTTTCGCTTTGATACCAATTGAAAACGCAAGAACTATAGATGTTGGCAAAAACATTCAACTAGATTATCTTTTTTAAAAGTAACTTACAAGAAATTTTTAATTAGAGAACTTACAAGTATCTCCTAACAATCTAGTCTCTCATAAGTATCCCAAAGACCATACAAGTCTTGTGAGCTTCTCTCTTGTTTTCTCTACAAAGGAAACTAAAACCCTTTTGTTTTTAGAAAATTATAACTCTCAGTTCTAATTTTCTAAATAGACCATTAACCTCTATTTATACATATAGAGGATGCTTTTTTTACAATTTTCTTTTTCTAAGACAAATAACAC